GAAATACTGAGCTAAAGAATGGCTGTAAAACTTTTAGCTAGATTTTTAAGATTATTATAACTTTCACATTCTTGTATAGTTTACCATTGGTTTAAAGGAGTTTAAAGATAATCTAATTTCATATTTCATTGACTTGCAAGAAATTGCTATGCGAACGATGTTCACCCTTAAATCTTTCCATTGAGTCTGTAACTTACATTGTTATTTTTTTTTCTATACATTAAAAAAATAGTTTAAATCTTAACTATTACCTACAGATATAGACTTCATCAGATAACCATCTGGAAACAATCATGGTGTCTTCCATTCATTACTTACAGGATCCTCTAGAAAAAACTCTGCAGGGCACAAATAGTAACAACGATGTTTGCCATGCTGAAAAATCAATTGAAAAAACTTTTTCGGACTGTGGCGATGAGGTAACCAAAGTTTGCACTTATTCTATAGTTCTTACCTTACCATTTTCAACATTTCAGTTGGTGGGCGAACATAGTAAATCATTTGCCAAGGAGTTCTTAAAATGTGATCTTAACTATAAAGCAATTCTATTCGCTTATCAAAATCAACCTAGCCTTTGGAATCGAAATCTATTTCCAAACAAGTTAAACAACGATGAACGGAATTTATGTCTGAAAAATATTGCACTGGAATTGAAAACTGCACGAAACATTGAATTGGACACGAGCATGGTTGGTCACATCCTACTTCGAATACGACAGGAATATTGTGTTAAATTGCGACGTTACAAAACAATTGAGCAACGCAAGGCAGCGGAAAGAAACAAGATGGTACCTGGCTGGTATTTTAAGCAATTGGCATTTTTGCAGCCAATGATGGATCATTTTACAATAACCAAACTGGATTCACAGCGGACAAATCTGACGAAGGAGCAAATCATACAAATACTTGAGATATACAAGAACTTCCCAGTTCTATGGAATACTTCATTGGTTGAAAACGTTTGTTCCAACAAACGACAAGAGGCTCTTGAACGAATGTTGAAGCCAATTCACAAAGAAATGGGCCTAAAAATTAATGTTAGTATTTTGCAACAATATTTGGATAGTATTCATGCACATTTATCCAAAGAGAAGACCATGATTCTCAAAAACAATAAGAATAATGAAAACATTTCCATGTACTATGATCACATGAAGTTTTTACACGATCATGTTGGGCCTTTTTGCTGTGGCATTTGTGGACGAAGAAATAGAAGCCCACTTCATTTAAAGGTGCACATCTATCAGAAACATAATCGCAACGATCCGCTTCGATGTCCAATGTGTAACAAGATTTATCAGCAGATGGAACCCTATGTCGCACATGCCAGACGCCATATGAATGACTTACGGGTCGAATGCAAGGAATGTGGAAAAAGGTTCATAAGACATGCCGATCTGCGAGTACATATGTATACTCATACCGGAATTAAGTCATATTGTTGTGAAGTATGTGGTTCTGTATTTACGACAGCTTCAGCGTTAGTTGATCACAAACGTCGCCACGAAAAGCTGTATAAAGTATTTTGTGAAATTTGTTCCAAGGGATTCTACTACGATGAAAAGATGAGAGAACATATGACCACACACACCAATATACGCAATTATGCATGCGGTATTTGTGGCAAGAAATTTAAAGCCAAGAAGACACTTAAGGCACACAAATCTACACATGAGGAAGGCCGTAACCATCCATGCCCACTGTGCGGAAAAATGTACAAGAATAAAATCGGTGTTTCCCAGCATTTGAGAACACATCGCTCAAATGTTGGCACAAAAACGAAATTGCAAAATAAAACAAAAGCTTAATTTTGTAATGAAAATTTATGTGTATTTTTCTACATTGGTCTTTAATTTACCAGCAAATTTGTCCTTTGGAGTTACTACATGGAGCATAATCAATGCTTTTAAACGGTTATTGACAAAATTGTTAGAAATAGTACGTGCTAGAGTTGGTTTAAATATGTGTAACTAGTGGATTGGAGTACCAACTCCCAAGCTTTATCCTCGTCTCTTTTGAAACGCCCCAAGAGATAAGAATCTCGCGTTTAACCCCTAACGGTTCTGTTATTATTTTAATGATAATAAGACGCAAATGTTAACAAACTGTTATAAGTGAGACAACGTGTAAATTAAAATTTCTGTTATTTAGGCAAATGACAAGCTTGTTCCTGGCATATGAAGTTTTTTGTAGAGTAATTCCACAAGTTTTTTTTTACTTACAACTAACTTACAAACTAAATAATCCTAACCCTGTGAATGCCGGAAGTTGGAGAAGAAAAATTGCCTCCTTCATTGCAGCAATCAATGATAAATAATTCGTATTTGACCATTTGAACTGGTCGTCGGAATTCAAAAATTCCCACATCACGTTCCCCACGAAATATTGAAGATTTTGAATGAATGTGTTTAAAATATTAATAGAATATTCGAACATCTTGTGTACATATTCCTATCTATGAACTTACGAATCATGCTCTGTTCAAAAGTATCAATTTTTTTTCATAACTGTTGAAGATTTTGTAAATTAAATTGGAACGAACTTACTTTTTATATAAGTGTTTTGTTAGTAAATAAAGTTATAAACACGGCATAACAATAAAGGTAAACTCATTTGCTAATTTTAATATAGCAACTCTTTTCTGACGAACTCGACCTTGTTATTTTTTATTTCATTTATTTACTTTGAGGCATCACAAATCGCTTACATTTGCCGAATGTATTCTGTTACCAAATTGATCTATATTTTGATATATTTATATTAATCTAATTAATAACAAGTAAAAAAGTAAAAATAAAATCCGTTAAAACTTCTGAAAAAATCTTAAAAGCCATTACAATATTCAAATGCGAAACTTAAAAAAAAATTGGTGAATAATGTAGCTAAAATCACCAAAATACCGGTACAGAGAGGTACCGTTTTATGGGGGCTATACGAAGTGGTGGACCTGCACAGATTTTCTATCATAGGCTGTAGTATCCATTACGAACTTCAAATACCAAATTTGAAATGATTCCGGTGAATAATGTCGCTAAAATCATCAAAATACCGAATATCGGGAGGTACCCTTATATGGGGCCTATACAAAGACGTGGAGACAGACGGACGGAAATCGATAAATCGACATAGACTTTTATGCTGATCAAGAATATATATATACTTTGTGGGGTCTTAAATGTATATTTCGGGGTATTACAAACGGAATGACAAACTTATACCTAATACCCTCCATACTATGGTGAATGGTATAAAAGGCATGTACATCTTCTAGAGAAGGCTATTTATCATCATCATCAGTTACAGTACATTTTGATGAACGTCATTTAAAAATATCAAAATGTATCGAGTTTTGGTTCAGTAGTGGGATTCTCTAAGTCATTTTTTGAGTCAACAACAAGAATCGGCAAATTTAAAACCCAAAATGTTGATATAAACAAGTTAAAAAACAGTAAGTTCGGCCGGGGCGAACTTTGAATACCCTCCACCATTTGAACGAATTTTCAAAAAATAAAACCCGTAAAAATTCTGTTAAAATCTTAAAAATACCGAATATAACCGAATATAGCTGGGCATTGTTGTCAAAAGCCATTACCATATTCAAATTCGAAACTTGAAATAAACGAATGTAGCTAAAATCATCAAAATACCGTACATAGGGAGGTATCGTTACATCGGAGCTATACGAAGACCTGAACTTGCATAAACAATTTTCTGTTATAGTCTGTATCATCTATTACGAACTTCAAATATGACATCTCAAACAATTTCGGTGAGTATTGTACATAAAATCGTCAAAATACCGAATATAAGGAGGTACTGATATATGGGGTCTATACGAAGACCTGGACCTGCATAGACAACTTTCTCTCATAGGCTGTAGTATCCATTACGAACTTCAAATACCAAATTTGAAACAATTACGGTGAATAATGTAGCTAAAATCATCAAAATACCGAATATTGGGAGGTACCGTTATATGGGGTCTATACGAAGACGTGGACCTGCACAGCCAATTTTCTGTCTAAGGCTGTAGTATCCCTTTGGAACTTCAAATACCAAATTTTTGAGTGAATAATGTCGCTAAAATCATCAAAAGACCGAATATTGGGAGGTACCGTTATATGGCGGCTATGTGAAAAAGTGGACCTACATGGCCCATTTACGTACTTAAGCTGCCTACTTGCAAAATAAACATGTCTGCAAAATTTTAGCCTTCTATCTTGATTCGTTCAGAAGATCGCGTGATTACAACAGACAGACGGACATCGCTAAATCGACATAGAGTTTACGCTGATCAAGAATAAATGTACTTTGTTGGTTCTTACATGAGTATTTCGAGGAGTAACAAACGGAATGACAAAGTTAATATACCATCCGTAGTATTGTGAAGGGTATAAAAAGAAATTAAAGTTGACAACATTGGTATTTATCGGTAGGTATTAACGGCTACTTTGATTTCGTTGGTATCTTTCCGAAAAATTTTGTTAATTGCCGAAGTTATATGCATTTTAAAATGAGTTAGAGAGATACAGATCGGTTCGGATAAAGCTTTAGCATCTATATAGTTTCATTTCACAAATATTTTGTATCGGGTTTATAATAGACAATATATCCAAGTTTAAAAAGTTGTAGTAAAATACCATCCTGACCTAAGACAATTTGTCTTTTCTAAACAACAGGAAAATAATAAATGGTCATAATTAGACTGTTTCAAACAAGTTTTTCGATATTGTGGTTAAAAAGAAAATTTTGATGGTTTTGTGACGATTAACGCGTTTAATCTGATGTATGTGAATTTCATTTATATTTAGCTTTTAAAATATGTTATGTGTCTGCGTTTCTTGCGTATTTTTCCTGTTCACTCAAAACTACAGTAAATGAGTTGAGTAAGTTTAAGTGAAAAAATTGTTGTTAGCACAAACAGGTGTTTTTTTTAACAAACTATCGAGAACGTTGATACACTTATACATCCTATGTGATTCTAGAAAAAAACAATCAAATAGCTTTCAAAGGTTAGTATCAGCTCACACATATGGTAAATGCTCAGGATTCAAGCTGATTACGAGTATTTGGTGAACACACGAAAAACATCAGATCTACAAACGTGTGGTGGGTATTTAATTTTGGCTAAAATTAACTAAATATTTATTTTATAAAAAGTTTATAAAAGACTTGTTAAAAAAAAAAAAACAAAAATTATGTACACATTCCAATTGAGGCAATATTTTGGAATCTTTATTATGAACTAATTTCCAGTTCAAGTATATCATTTTTGCGGTGAATTTTTATGTGTTGAGCCAAACCAAGTTTGTTTTTGAACGTTTTGTCACAGAACGGACACACATGATTGCGACCTTCCTCGTGCGTAAACTTATGCTGCAGCATAGTCTTCTTTGTCTTAAATCCTTTGCCGCATATATCACATTTAATGTCCCGTATATCGGTGTGGGTTCGTACATGATTATTCAGCTGATCCTTCTTGTAGAAACCTTTCGAACACACAGGACAATGATGTAAATACTGTTTTTGATGCCGTCTTTTATGGGTTTTAAATGCCTGACTGTGTCGATATGAGGCTCCACAAATTTCACAGCAGTATGGTTTGGAGCCTGTGTGGCAACGTAAATGAATTTCCAGATCGGCGGGCCTGGAGAACTTCTTGCCGCATTCTTTACATTCATAGCGCAAGTCATTCATATGTCTTCTAGCATGGGCCATGTACGCATCTGTAGTTTTGTACTCCTTTTTGCATAGCGAACACGTTAGAGGTATTGTGCCATCGTGTTCAGCCATGTGTACCTTCCAATTGAGAGGACTGAGGAATGAACGATTGCAATCTGTACACTTAAAAGGTCCCACATGATCTGTTAAAAATACCAGATGCTTGTACAAATCAAATCTCTCTTTTGTGGTGCGAAAGTTTGTTGTACTATTGCGCTTCTCCTTAGTGAAGAACGCATGAATTGTGTGTAAATAACGTTTGATGTTATTAATATTGACTTTAATGCCCATTTCGTTATCTATCATTTTCTGCATTTGTGATAGGGCTTCCGAACGTTTGTTAGTGCAGACATTTTCAATTAGTTCACAATTCCACAGAACTGGCAACCGTTTATATATTCCAAAGAGATGTATGATTTGTTCAATTTCCAGTGGCGGTTGGTTAGAATCTAAATTAAAAATGGAACAGTTTTCCATATAGGGCTGTAAGAAATCCATTTGCTCATAAAACCAAGACCGTGTATTTTTGGTTTTGCTGTTTTCGGCTCCAAACTCGTTTTCTCGCTTCAAACGTTCTCTGTAGTCATGTCTTAGGCGTGCTATAACCGCAGCAACTTCCTTAGTCGTCATATAAACATTTATTCTGTCTTTGACTTCATCGGCAATTTTCTGTAGACATTTCGGGCGTTCTTTGGCGCGTACATCAGGAGGATTGTTGCTGTTCCACAAGTATGGTTGTTTCTTGTAGGCAGCGATTATTGTGGTCACATTCAGTTTAATACCCATAAAATTTCGTACAAACATTGATGTTTTACTGTCTTCACCATCATCGGTACACTATGAAAGAAGGATGCTGAATTAAAAATTATCATATGATTATGTATGATATCTACTTCATCTCCAGACTCCCCCAACTCAAGCATGCACTCTTCCTCGGCCTGATTTTCATCAGATCCCTTTTCTAATTCATCTTCATCATCTGGTTCATCCTTGGAGCTATTAAGATGTTCGATCTTCTCATCAAGATACTCCTCTGCGATATCAATTACAGATATGGAGTCCTGAAAATGGACAGTACTTAGTATTTTACTATTTATACAGATGAAATGTAAGAGTATTCATACCATATCTTCTGGTTCCAATTCGGATAATATCTCATATTTGACAGTGACCTTTTCCTCCACATTAGAACCTTCGTTTACTTCACCATCAAACATATCATCAATCAATGCTGAAACTGAGGATTTTTCATCGAGCTCCGCAATGTTTTGTTGATAGTGACCTAAACAATGCTCTATTAACATGTCCATATCCGTATAACAGTCCTCACATTCTATACACTTAAGTATGTACTGGTCCTTGTAATCCAACGATGGTGACAACAGAATTTCTCCGCATTTTATATATTCCATATAGTCACACATATTAATTTTTTCCGATCCTGCACAATATGAAACATGTAATGTTTGCTCTCCCTGAGGTTCCCACAATTGATTTGTTTTGTTTTAAAGCGTGTTGCCACACTCACAGGGTCTGATCAGATGGCAAATATGGTTTTATAACATAGCTGTGTTCCATTTTCAACAGGGAAAAAAAAGAAAAATGAGTTCTGGTGTAATTGACAATCATAAAGTTTTCAACTTTTTTTCATTTTTTGATTGCGAAGTTATATTTGTTTCAATGAATTCCAAAAATAAAGCAGAGAACGCTTATTATTTATAAATAGAAACTCAGGGTTTACATTGCAGAACAAATCATGGTACAATGAAGAGAAGGTAGGTCAACTTTGAAAAAATTGCAAGTATAGAGGTCTACCTGTTTGGCTTGTAATGTCAGAATTAGTATCAAAACAATAAAAAAACAAACAACTTGTTGCATTTATTTTGAATAAATAATTGAAAACGCGATAACTGAATGAAAAGTCAACACTTCTTTTCAAAACCAGGTTCTATATATCTCTAAAGGATTATTTCGCTACAAAAACTCTAGATTTTGTCGATGCATACGATGAAATAAACATTTTGAAAACATCCGAATTTGAATGTTTTCTGAACAATTTTTTTGTTATTGAAAAGAAAACACATACATAAACAAATAAACATGACATATTAAGCCAAGAAAATAAAAAAATTAAAATCATATGGTATCATAGCCCTACCTTGATATCATTGTACCATGGAACAAATAATCCTAATTTTTTTTATTTTAATGCTACAATTCCTCTCAATGCATAGTTATCAGCTGCAAGCACAAATATTGTTGCACTTCAAGGAATCGCTGGGAAATCGTGTAAAAGTAATTTCCCTCTCAAATTGAAAATGTTGCATATTCATAATAAGCCCAAAAATGGTTTATAGTCGAAATTACGATATAAAAGTATTTTTAATACATTTATTTTTGCAAGTTATGCAGAATAATTTTGACAGTTAATGGCAACAACATAGGTTTTTGTTTAAAAACAATAGACGCTTTGTTAATGTTGACAAGTTTTAACTTTGCATTTACAGCCTGTTTTTATACCCTACAACACTATGTGTTGGGGATATTATAAGTTTGATTGGGCCAGAATTTATGTAACACCTCGAAATATTGGTTTCCCATATAGGAAAGTATATATGGATCTTCCTAGCTCGCCGAGCTGAGTCGATCTAGCTATGTATGTCCGTCCGTCCGTCTGTACATGTTAATTTGTAATCACTCTACAGGTCGCAATTATGGCCCAATCCTTACGAAATTTTGCACGAAGGTGGGGTTAGGGTCAGAATAGAAACCTATTTCTTTTGGAGATGATCGCCAAATGTTTAGGGGTTGAAATGGACCAAATACTGAAAAAATGTCGGATTTTGCAGTAGCTATACAGGCCGCAATTATAGACCAATCGACGAAATTTCGCATGTGGCTAGAGTTTAGGGCAGGGAAGAAGCCTACCAATTTGGGTGGTCATCGGATAATATATAGCGGGTAAAATAGACCATATCTTTTGAGTTGAAAAAATTCAAAATTTTTCATTAAACCGCAAATATTTTAAACCCCGGCGAAATCACAAAGCCATGACAAGGTTACTTCGGATCTTTACATTGATGTTAACATCCAACAAATCGGATATATAGCAAAATATGTGCGATATATATGTCTATCAAAGAAGATATGCTTGAAAGATCTCTTATATGTCGAGAACGGCTGAACTGATTTCGACAGTTCTCATTAATTCAGAATGGCCTCTTGGGAGGAAAGAAAAAACGTCTAAAAAAATCGCATAAAAATATCTCTCTAAAGATGAAAATATTGATTTTGTAACATTTTCTCATATTTTTTTCAATTTTGTCACATTTTTGGCATATTTTCATTTTGAATTAAACTTTTGGTAATATTTCTACAGCTAACAAAACTAAGTAGTTAGGATATCAGGATATCATACAGAGATCGCATTTATGGCCCGATCCTAACGAAATTTAGCATGGGGATCAGATGAGGGTAGGAATAGAAGCCTACTCTTTTTGAAGATGATCGCTATATATTTAGGGGTTGAAATGGACCAAAAAACTGCCAAATTGTCAGCAGGTCGTAATTATCGCCCGATCCTCACGCACATTTGAATGAAGGTTACCGCACATTGCAAAAGCCAAGCAGTTTCGGATGGCATCCAAAAATATTCAATGTGTGACAGCGACATCTACCAATAAATTGGAAATGAGCAAATTCGTTTAAGTTGCTATTATCCGAACGAAACATGATGGTTTTCTTTTATTATTTGTCACAATATCTTGTGGAGTTCTTTCGAGTATCACGCCTATATAAACTGTATGGTTTATTATAGTGTTGTAGGGTATTCAACGGTCGGCCCCGCTCGACTGTAGCCTTTGCTTACTTGTTCTTTTTAATTTCAGTGTTTTCATATCCATTATTTTGTTAAGATTTCGATTTAATTTTATTGGGAGTTGTGCTGCAAATGAAATCAAAATTTAAAAAAAGAATAAAAAAATGTCAAGAAAACATTTGAATAATATGGTCCTGCAAGATGCGCCTGCAAAATGTTATTATGTTAAAACAGTTTATATGTTAATTTGCTATTATCACTTACAATTCCAGCGTGATTCTGTAACCAAAGGCCAATTTTTGTTCAAAACTATAGGTCTCTGCCTATCGTTTTTTTCTGACGTTCTTTCGATATTTTTGTTACAAAAGCCCAAAAATACAATGCGAAGTAAAAGCTTTCGTGTGTATGTCACTGACATAAAAAGCGTTGGCTTCAAAAAACCCAATAATTTTTTCAGTCGACAAATTTGCCAACTATTGGCAAAAATATAGTTAAAAAACAGGCTGTTAGTTTTTTGCAAGAAAGTAAAAATTATTATACGATAACCAATTTACATGGTAGAATCAAGGAAGTAAGGTCATGCAATCATATGTTTACAATTTTTTCAAAAATTATTCATTTGACAACATCTCATTGTCAAAATTGGTATTTTTAAATCCATTGTACAAACACAAATCAGAGATGGAAACCTGTTTTTTATGTAGTGAAATGTGACAAGGTAAATTACAGAGAATGCAGAGAATTATTTATTTGAAATGACTTTACCTTCTTAATTTTACCATACCAATTTATCTTTTATGATATCGAAAAAAACTGCAAAACTAGTATATTCTTGCTGGAGTTCTGGAACGAAACAAATATACACATGGTACAATAAGGAGGTAGAACAGCTTCATAAAACTACAAAAATACTGCCCTGAGGCTATGCCTGCTTTCTGTCAGAATTATTCAAATTTATAGGCATCAAGTTATTTTTATTTATTTGGTATTTTTTGTTCATTTCTAAAATGAGTCAAATAGCGCGAAAGATGAATGAAATGCCTGGATGTTCTCTCAGAAATATGATCCTAAGTGTTCAATCTTTCATTTCCATGGGAAATCTAGTTAAAGTTATTAATGCGCGCTACGCAGTTTAAGTTTCTTCCAATCATTGATGTTGAAATATTCTGTTTTTATTTTTCAAAACAACAAATACATACACAAAATTGGCAGAAGTCGGGCACATTTAGAAAAAAATTGTAATCAGCTGGGAGCTCTACCTTACCTTTTTATTGTACCATGATTATACACACGCAAGTGCTCTGTTCCAGAACTGCAAGAATATATTATTTTTCTCTTATGATATCGACAAAAATGGCAAAACTTGTATATTCTTGCAGGTTCTGGAACAGTGCACAGAAATTTGGTTAATACCTTTCAAAACCATGTACACGAATTAAACCGTTCATACGGAACAGTTCGTAATTACCGGTTTTTGCGGAAATTCAAACTTGTGGGAAAAAAACTTGGATGCCAAAATTTGCTTTCGTTCAACATCATTAAGCTCGTCTCGAAAGAGAAAACAAACACTTAAATCATAAAACATATGATCTTCGCCTTAACAAGGAAAAACTCAAAAATTCAGCCGAGCCCGGCTGTGGGATTTGAACCGCGGACCTCTGTGTGCAGCCAACTAGAAGTTGCCATCTCTACGTTCAGAGCCATTAACCCGTCTTCCTAAAGCAGCACTAAAAACAAGTGTATGCATTGGAAGCAATGTAGTTGTTGTGGACAAAAAAAAAATCCATCACTACAAAAACAAAACGTTGCTGTGAAAAAGATCTGCCAATAGAACTTGAGTCGAACCTGGAGAGTTTCTAGTGTATAATTCGCATATGCTAATTTGCAATAAGTTCGAAATATATACTACTTTCCAGAGAACGGCCCTTGTAAGCCATCATCCACATCAAATATGCCTGATGAGCCGCTTAACCAACGGCGAAACGCGTCGCATAGTGGTGAGTGTGTGATAGTGTCTATCTGGCTTTCCTTTTCACTGCAAATTTCAGATCATTAAGCTCGTCTCGAAAGAGAAAACAAACACTTAAATCATACTTTTCGTTCATAACTTCCACTTTTCCTGAAAAATTTTCAAATTTCTCCAAATATTTCTATTTTGTATTTTTTTCGATAAATGATCATATTTGTTAGGGTTCCATTCCTAGTTCTGAGAGTCATTTGAATGGAAAAAGAATAAACATTGTTGTTCACCTAGAAAAAGTTGTAAAGTAAATTTTTAATCGTTAAGCTATTAGACAGTGAATCACGTGCCATACGAACTTAGTATTAGAGTTTTGTCACGGGTTTAAAAAAGTCGTCCCGAAAAAACCAAACTGGCAACGCTGCTAAATGTAATAACTCAGTTCTTTTTCGAACCGCATAACTCTTCTATTTACTGTTCTTCTTCAATTGTTTATGCGTTTTTGTTTTGATTTTAAACTTTATCGTTCTTACAGTTTGCTGTTTGTTTCTTATTTATACGACGACGGTATTTGGCAGTAGCAAACTTTTGGATTTGTGTAATCTGGTTGGATTGCATCCTGATCTAAGAATTACAAGCTTTATTTTCCATCCTTCAATGAGACTTCATCATTGAATAATGGAGGAATATATTGAATATATTCTTTGTGGAGAAATATTAGTAGCACCTGCGATAGATTCGAAATATCAATACTGCCTGAAATGCAACGAATGCAGTGAATACTATTCAACATTGGACGAGTTTATTGCCCATCATCAATCGGACCACAATGTTGATGGTCTGGACAATATTTCATCATCACCTGCTTCAGAAGTGGAATGCAATGAGGAATATTTAGAAATATATTCACCGCTATCCGTCAAGGCGGAGCATTCGAATGATGGCTGTGAAGTAGCACCTCCACTGTCTCCAACAAGCTACAGCGAAACACAAACACACGATAAGAATATGGATGATGGCAGTACAAAATCTGAAATTGATGACGAGGAAGGGTTTAAAGGATTTGAAAGCGAAGGTATGGCCGGAGATGATGAGACGGTAAGTTAAACGATATATTAGAAAATTATTCATAATATAAAAAATTGGCATTTTCAGGACCCTTTAGATCAACCACAGTGTGAGCGAACAGAAGGTCCTATTAATGATGAAGACAACGATAACGCATGTCTTGAATCAGAAGCTGAGGTAATTATTTACTAGATAACTACAATATAGACAATATAGTCTTAAACGACTTGAAATTACTAAGAATCTTTGAGAATATTGGCCATAGGTTTTATTCTGAAATAAACTTCTTTCAATTTCTAACATTATTTGATGTTTTAAGCCTTAAATTTTTATGTAACAATTGTTGTTATAGCAGGCCTACTAAAAATGGTGATCTTCATTGTTTCTCAGGATAGTTTCCAACTTCCGGGGTTACGATACCGTAGTATTTTTTAAAGAATCTATTTCCTTATCTCTGTCTTCAAAATGGTTTTTGTGATCAAAACGGCTAAATGTTATAACAGTTATAATCTATCAGATCTGTTACTCTTGTTAAACTTTAAAGATAGTGAACCTTTTATTACTTCTCTCTTTTTTTTGGTTACAGTGGGAACCAGAGGACAACAAAACTAAGGTGTTCGTGAGTCAGTTCTTGAAATGTGAAAAAAATTTCCTAACATTTATAGAGGCCTACAAAAAGCAACCTCGTCTATGGAATTGGAAGCAATATCCGTCAAAGCTTAACTCTAGTAAAGAGCGTGAAAAATATTGGTCGCAAATTGCCGCAGAAATCCGAAATAATTTAAACATTGAGATTACCTGCAAGTACGTATCAGCAGTAATAAGACGAATTCGAAATGGTTATGCCATTAAGTTGAATCGCCTCAAGTCTTATGAGCAGCGTGGTGGAACACTTAAAAGCAGGAATATTCCTCAGTGGTACTTTAACAAGATGCAATTTCTAGAACCATTTCTGAACAATTATTCTATTGTAGAAATTGGTGTACAGCGGCAACCGTTGGAGACAGAAGAAATTATACAAATTCTAAAGATTTATAAAAGATTTCCACACTTGTGGAACACAAATCTCGTAGAAAATGTCTGCACAAATAAACGCGATGAAGCTCTAAGTCAAATGATCGAGGCCTTACAGTCAGAATTATCATTGCAGGTGGATGATGTAGCCCTTAAGAAGTATTTGTACTGCATCCATGGCCACTTTACCACCGAGAAGGCCAAAATGCTGCACAAGAAAACATCGACCAAAGACATATCGATATATTACGAGCATATGTTGTTTTTAGATGAGCATGTTGGCCCCTTCTATTGTTCGGAGTGTGGCAAAAAACATAAGAATCCTCTGCAGTTAAAAGTACATGAATCTCTGTCACATGGTCTGGAACCTTTAAAGTGTCCTCTCTGCGTCAAAACCTATACCAATGTTCAGGCTTATACATTTCATGCCCGACGACATATGAACGATACCAGTGAAGTGTGTAGAGTTTGTGGGAAAACATTTATAAAAGTTGTAGATCTAACAGCCCACATGCGTGGACACAATGGCATTAAGCCATATTTCTGTGAAATATGTGGCTCTTCGTTTACTATGCCATCGTCATTGACCGAACACAAGAAGCGACACAGTGCCCAAAATAAAGAACATTGTTCAATTTGTTCCAAGGCGTTCTTTAGCAAACGAAGATTAAATATGCATCTGTTAACACATTCAAATTCGAGAAGTTTCGTTTGCAACATCTGTGGAAAGGCATTTAAAACTAAAAAAACAATGCGAGCCCACGAAACAATACATGAAGATAGCCGCAATCATCCATGTCCGCTTTGTGGTAAAATGTTTAAAAATAGAATTGGTGTTACGCAGCATTTGAGAACGCACCGAAATAACGCCGATACAGCATCAAATCCTTTTATTGGTAGTTGAATGGAGAGCCGTGATATATTTTTTTTAATTCAAGAGATATCTATATAAGAACAATAAATGTTATTTATGTCTTTTTAAATTGATGTTTTTATTTTAGATTAGCAATATTACAAATAAGATATATGGTTTTTGTATGATGAATGTGAAAGAAAACTCCATTCCAAATGAGGGTTGAGTGAAAAAAAAACAAATACATAAAAACTTATTTGCGATGGTGTTTTTCTGCGCTTTCACTTTCGTATCGTCATACAAAAACCGGACCAAACTTTTTTGTACTACAATTATAATAAACTTTAAATGTTGAAATAAATAATAATAGTCGAACGATAAGGTGACTGTCAATCATATTGTTTTAAACTTGTCAAATTCAATCGAATGTTGCTGTTGTTAATTTACTTGTTTTACTTGTTTTTCTTTCTTGCTTCTATATCTTGCCTATCTCAACAACATTCCTCTTCCAAAAATGAACACAATGGATCGAAGGCCTCCGAGCGTGTAGCGGCGCATCCTTTATTATTTCTATGTGATGTATTTCTAAATGATGTAAATCGGTATATAAATAACTAGTTGACCCGGCCCGCGTTGCTGGCCCTTAGTTTTAGTATTTCCCATTTATGGGAAATACTTCTTCGCGACGACGAATTTGTGAATTTATGTCAAGTTAATATATTTAAATGAACTTGTAAAACAATCCGACATTTTAGCAATTCGCGAACAAAATTTAGCGTTCTAAACCAAATACTTTTGTGGGAGATTTTTTTAAGAACAGTAAATGTGATTGTATTTGAAAACTAAGAGCAGAAAAGGTCTATTTATCTATTTCCGAAAAGAGGGAAAAACTTCAAAAGGTCAAATAGGATACATACATACATCACTTCGACTCAAAGCTTCCAATAATAAAACTGATGCTAAGTCAATAATGACAAAAAGTAAAAACCAAATACAATCTTCCCATTGAAGAAAATTGTTCGTAGGCTATTTCTGTTCAAAAACTAACGTGCTCCAGTCTATTGAATTGATGTAGTCTTTTGAACCTTAAAGAGTCTCACCATGCGTGATATATGAGATTCTTCTTTATTCTATATTCTATAAAGTATTTTGTAAGTAGATAATTTCTGTGGTTTGAAGGTTATGTTCACCGAATGGGTTGTAATACCTCAAAATATTCTTTGGTAGTCCCGAGAGTGAAATTCTACATTTATCTAAGTCATCTGCCTACCTTCAAGAGATTATGACATACTTTAAGATTGATGTTTGAAATTTTGCACAGACGTATACATTAATCTAAAGTTTAGGTTTAGCTCTCAAATAATTCTACTATCTGACACTCGTCATTTTGCATATTTCTGCCACCTCCGACCGAATAAGCTCAAATCTTTGGATTTTAGAAATCTGTTTCCTCAATAATTGTGTAACATTGGCTCACCGATGTAGCCGACTATTTCGGCGGTCCCAAAAGACAATTTTTTTTTTCAAACAAAATATTTAAAAACTTGCCAGACTAATTCGGTGCAATGGTTCTCTTTTAGGCACAACCTCAGTATAACGGTATCTTCAGATTTTAAGTATTATGTTGCTCTGAGTAGCAATTTTAAGTTAAATTAGTATTTTAGCGTTCCAGGTTCTTAGAGGATATAAACCAACATTTTTATTGCCTCACAGAGGGTAAATCTTGATATCCGGAACATCACTGATCCCAATATCGATTTCCGATAGAATGGGCTGTAATTTAACCTTTTTGGGTTTCTATTGGATCTGGATCTGCTATACGAAAATAAAAGGCCCACGCTTTGAAATAAGCTCCACATAGATGTGTTGGTCAATTTCTGCTCGAAGTCGCAAGTTTCATTCTATTGGGCAATAATTAGATTTTCTTCGCTTTTTATATCCTCCACCATACTATGGAGGGTATATTAACTTTGTCATTCCGTTTGTAACTCCTCGAAATACTCATGTCAGACCCAACAAAGTATATATATTCTGGATCAGCGTAAAATTCTAAGTCGATGTAGCCATGTCCGTCTGTCTGTCTGTTGTAATCACGCTATCTTTCGAACGAATTGAGATAGAAGGCTAAAATTTTGCACACTTGTTTATTTTTCCAGTAGGCAGTAAATGGGCTATGTAGGTCCACGTTTTCATATAGCCCCCATATAACGGTACCTCCCGATATTCGGTATTTCGATGATTTTAGCGACATTATTCACCGGAATTGTTTCAAATTTGGTATTTGAAGTTCGGAACTGATACTATAGCCTATGACAGAAAATTGTCCCCCATAACGGTACCTTCCAAAATTCGGTATTTTTATGATTTTAGCGTCATTATTTCCGGAATTGTTTCAAATTAAGTATTTAGAGTTCGTAATGGGAACTACAGTCTGTGACAGAAAATTGTCTATGCAGGTTCAGGCCTTCGAATAGGTCCTCCCTATATTCGGTATTTTGACGAGTTTAGGTACAATACCCACCAAAATTGTTTGAGATGTCGTATTTGACGTCGGTAATGCTATAGCCTGTGACAGAATATTGTCTATGTTGGTCCAGGTCTTCGCATAGCTCCGATATAACGGTACCTCCCTATATACGATATTTTGATGATTTTAGCTACATTATTCACCATTTACTTCGAGTTTCGAATTTGAATATGGTAATGACTTATGACAAACAACGCCTATGTAGGTCCACGTCGTATAGACCCCAATATAATATTCGGTATTTTTAAAAGTTTAACAAAATTTTTTAAAGATTTTATTTTTTGAAAATTTCCAAATTCGTTCCAAATGGTGGAGGGTATTCAAAGATCGGACCGGCCGAACTTACTGCTTTTTAACTTGTTTAATATGTATTCAAACACAAAACATAAAATATTAAAAATGTTCAATTCAAAATGGAAAGTCAAATTGAAATGCGATATAAACATTTGGCAAAGAGTTAAAAAATTATTCACATTTTTATACCCTACACCACAAGGTGGTCAGGGTATTATGTCTTTGTGCATTTGTTTGTAACAGGCAAAAGGAAACGAGATAGACCCATAGTTCCTTTTGATGGTCAGAATAGAATCACTTTCTAAGTTGATTTATGCATGTCAGTGCGTCTGTCCGTCCGTCCGTCTGTCCATGTATTCTTGTGAACAAAATGCAGGTCGCATTTATTATCCAATTGAGATGAAATTTTCCAAACAATATTTGTTTGGCCCAAGGACGAACCCTATTGAAATTGGAGATAATCGGTAAAAATTTAGATATAGCTCCCATATATAACTTCGTCCGATTTACCTTTTATTGTGCACCAAACGTCTAATATTTGCCCAAATGGGATGGAATTTGGCACGTACGACCGAATTGAGTCTAGAAGCTAGTATGCCAAATTTGGTGAAGATCGGTTCAGATGTAGTTATAGCTCCCATATCTATTGTTCATCCGATTTGTTATATTTGTTACCCACAGCTGTAATATGCACTCCGTAACAATGATATTCAGGGAAATATATCAAATACAGCTCAGAAATTTCTTTGCCAAATTTTATCCAGATCGGTTTAGATTTGGATATAGTTCTCATGTATATCTTTATCTGATTTCAAATTAATTTTGCACCAAATGGGCAATACATGTCCGAATTTAAAAGTTACAAATGCTTCGGCATATTTAGTCCTTTGAATTTTCAATTATGTAGCAAGATAACAAGTAATCGATAACCACATTGCTACACAATAAGAGTTGTGAGTTGACTGCCAAACAGAATAAACGTGTACAGATCAGGTGTGGCCGAACACACGCGAGAGAGAAAAAAAAAAAAAAAAGAAAGAAAACGACGCCAACCAGTGTGAAATTAACAAACAGTGAAATCTTCTAATAAGATTAGAACATTAAACTGAAAATATTAAAGGGAAATGGTGCGTGAAGATTTAGTGGCCCAGCTGGGGCTGGCAGGAGTCAACTTTCCACCAACGGCAACAATTGCCCAGCTACGCGAATTGTTGAGAGAAGTGGTAGGGGCAAGCGTCTCATCGAGTGCATCGTCATCGCCGACACCAATACCACCACAAGTAAGCGTAGCAGCTAGCGGCCCACCACCACAAGGGCAAGCAGAAAATGTAGAGACACAGCAACAGCTAGACAACGCAATTGCGCCAACGACTCGACAACAAGCAGATGTTCTGTTACAAACACCAACAACAACAAAAGAAATGGCAAGCAAACAAGGGCATGCAAACGGACAAGCAGTTGGGGTGGTAACAGACAAAGAAGGGCATGCAAGTAAACGAAACGAAATAGCGAGCAATCCAGAGCATGCTAGCGAACAAGACAAGATAATGCAAGAATTAGAGAGGCAAATAAAAATCTTGAAACTAAAGAAAGAAATTAGCGAGCTGGAAGAACAGTTGGAAACAAGAAAAAGTGTTGCCACATTTTCTGATGTGGAAGGTGCGTTGCCAAAATTTTCAGGGGACAATCAATTAATAATAACAAAGTGGATACAGGAATTTGACAACATAACCAACGTAATGAAGTGCTCTAAAACAGAACAATTCATTTATGCACGGCGTATGTTAAAAGGTAGCGCGGCCCTGTTTTTACGCAGCACAAAGTCAAATTCCTGGGAAGGCCTGAAAAAAGAATTATTGAATGAGTTTGGCAGAGTAGTTGGGGCGAAGGAAGCTCTAAGAAAGTTGGACGCTAGAAAATGGGACAGACAAAAAGAAAGCCTACACCGGTATGTCCTAGAAATGCAACAACTAGCGGAAGACACTCCACTCTCGCAGAAAGAAATAGTGGAGTACATAGTGGATGGTATGCTAGACAAATCAGTGGCAGCTTCCATATTCTTCAAGGTGGTCACGGTAGCCGAATTTAAAGAGCTGATACCAAAATACGAGAAAATGGTGGCGGACCGAAAACAATATCAGCCGAAAAGTGATGTGGTGAAGCAGGCACCGCCAACAGTCAAGTGCTTCCGATGCTCGAAGTATGGGCATTATTCAACAACTTGCACAGAGGGACAGCGGCCAATAGCGTGTTTCACTTGCGGAAAAAAGGGGCACATGAAGATCAATTGCCCACTACGGACGGTAGCGGCAATCCCAGACGAGGAGGAAGTAGATTGGAACATACAGGTGAGAGTAGCTCTGAGTCCCAGTAATTCAAAATAATGACGGACTGTAACTCTCTAGCTATGACATTGGGGAAACGAAATATCAACAGCCGCATTGCACGATGGGCCCTTGAACTAGAGAATTATAATTACACCATTATGCATAGGCCAGGGGAAAAAATGGCCCACGTCGATGCACTGTCTAGAATCGAACCAGAGAATAGTAACAAAGTAGTAGCGACAATCGAAATAGAGGATATAGACTTCCAATTATGTGCGGCCCAAGCTAGGGATAAGGAAATAAGTGAGCTAAAGTCGAAACTTGAAAATGGAACCGTGAACGGATATGATATGGTAAACGGGGTTATATATAGAAAAATTAATGATTCTTTGCGGTTCTTCGTACCTAAAAGCATGGAAATGGAAGTGATACGGGAAATGCATGAAAAGTTAGGTCATTTAGGGGTTGACAAATGCTATCTGAAATTAAAAGATCACTATTGGTTCCCAGAAATGAAACAAAAAGTAGAGGAACAGAAAAAGAATTGTCTTAAGTGTATCATGTATTCAGCCCCTCACAAACCAAATGCGAGGGCACTACATAGCATCCCAAAAGAACCCAGACCCTTTCACACAATTCATTTGGATCATTTGGGCCCATTACCATCATTGCAGTCGAAAAGAAAGCACATTTTAGTCATAATCGATGCTTTCACAAAATTTGTTCGACTTTATCCGGTTTTAACAACGAGCACCAAGGAAGTAAATGCAGCGCTTCTCAAATATTTTGACTACTACAGCAGACCGGTTAGATGCGTAACGGACAGAGGGAGTTGTTTCACATCAAAGGAGTTTGCCGACTTTTTAGAAGAGAAAAATATAAATCATGTGAAAGTGGCAGTGCATTCACCCCAGGCGAATGGACAGGTTGAGCGGGTAAATAGGACTTTGGTAGGAATGCTAGCAAAACTCAGCGAACCTGTACAACACGCCGATTGGGTGAAACAACTTAGCAAAATAGAGTTTGCATTTAACAACACTGTAAATAGGTCTATTGGTGACACCCCTAGTAGAGTTTTGTTTGGGGTTAACCAGAGAGGAGAGATAGTGGACAAACTGTCAGAATACCTTGAGGAGAACTTTTTGGACCCGGGGGGGGGTATCCAAGAAATCAGAGATAAAGCGGCGGCTGCCATTGCGAGGTCGCAAGAATATAATGAGCGGAGATTTGAAGAGAAAGGTCTTACTGTGAGTTCGTTTAAGGAAGGTGACTTTGTAGTAATCAAAAATGTGGACACCACCGCGGGGGTTAATAAGAAATTAATTCCGAAATTTAAAGGGCCATACACTGTGCGTAAGGTGTTACCGAACGACAGGTATGTCGTTGGTGACATAGAGAATTGTCAAATCACCCAGATACCTTATGAGGGAGTGATAGAAGCATGTAACATGCGCTTATGGAAGATGAACGATCCGGATAACGGGACTCAGGGTTGCTCTAACCCGCAATGTATATAGTAGTAGTAGATTGTACATAGTTTAGGTTAAGTAGAATAAGTATCTAGTCCATTTATTTAAGTATTCTAGTCTATTTTAAGTTTACCCCGTGTGACCGGGGCGGTCACAACCGTCAGGTTGCCCGAGCTGTAGCAAGATAACAAGTAATCGATAACCACATTGCTACACAATAAGAGTTGTGAGTTGACTGCCAAACAGAATAAACGTGTACAATTATTATATTATTATTATAATCATAGGGTGTATGATTGAATTCTCCCATAAACACTTTTAATTGTTATGTGGAGCTCAACTAAATTAGCAAAGTGGTGTAGGGTATCATAAAATCGGCCCCGCCCGACTTTAGGACTTTCTTTATTGGTTTATATTGTAAAATGGTGTGAATTGTCAAAATCAGTTCTCGAGTTTTAAGGGTAGTAATTAACATAACTTTATTTTATATATATAAATCTACAAATAATAGTTTTGTTCATTGCAGGAAAAATTAAAAATTTTACATTTTACGCGATTGGATTTGGACTTTATTTTGAATTGGATTGGTCTGAATCGTCAAAATCAGATCAGCCGTTCTTGAGTTATAAACGTAGTAACTAACGCAACTTTCTTTTATACATAGGAATAAACTTGAAATCGGGGCATTCAATTTATGGGGGTTATAACAAATCGTAGACCGACATGACCCATATTTGGACTGTATCAAATTTAAATCATCTCGTAAATTTTGCGAAACATAAAGCAAAATATTTGAGATCCTTTAGCCTTTGGAGAAGGCTATACAATGGACCCTAAAAAGTTTGGCCTGAAAACCCAAAACCCTTTTGGGATTTTATCTACTAACCGAATACTATCCACTTAGAATTCCCCCTCTACCATTTTGTATATTCGGTATGTGACTGATTGCAGTACCCATGAATTTTGCATTTGGAGTTCACGTTTGTTTGAATGTGTTCGCATCATCCAGCTGAAACACGATGTTGGTCCTGGGGTTGGAAAGCTAGATGTCAATTGTAGTCAAGCAAGATAACCATTTAATATCGTATTGTGCACCTTCATTTCTTCATCTTTCATTCAGAATTCAAAACACATTTTTTACAGCAAATGTTTAAAGGTTCTTACGAAGTTTGCCAATAGTAATGCGATTCCATTGAAAGATTGTTCTCGATTTGCTCACTGATTTAAAATTTTTACAATTTCGTGATTTTCTAGCGATTTTAAAATATTAACTATCGTTTAACTTTGGTCCGCGTTAAATTATTTCGACATCATCTATTCAGTTTCGCCACCACATAATTCGGTAATACACCTCAATGTAAACCACCTGCAATTTCCGTTCTCAAAAAATCGAGTCAATTCAACAATCAATTGATGTGGTTCATATCTTATCCTCCACTTACCCAATAAATACATAAAATCTAAAAAATAACACTTTTGTCCATTGTTTATTAATACTACCCAAAAAAGACTACACATTATATTTGAATTCGAAAAGAAAAAAAAAAAACACTACAAATGTACATTCGAAAATAGTAAGTGAAAATGAAAAAAAAAAAATATATGCAATATAATTATATATAATTAATTTCACATTTTTACGCGTTTTTTTTCCGATTTTATCCTATTCTGCCAAGAGACAATTCCGTATTTGTCTGAATCGTTAAAAGCAGGCCAGCGATTCTAGAGTTATAAGCGTAGCACAACTTTCTTTTATATATATACAGGGTGGGATGAAAAAACTTCAACCAACTTTAGACTGTTGTCATTTCTAAGCCACTCGTGCGTCAGCTGTTAAAATTAAGTTCCAGTGAAAGCTCATTATATTGTTAACAAGTGTTCAAATGCATTTTGGTGAGAATTTTCCAGCAAAAAAAGTTATTCGCGGTGGATTTCAAGCGTGATAGTGTGATTTCTTTATATTTGGCTGGAAAACCACAAGTGGCTATCGTTAGAGCACTCCAGCATTTAAATGTGAATAAATCTTTTGTGTCTCGTACCATTAGTAGTCTCGTTACCGTTAGAAATGGTTATGAGCAGAAATGGTTCGAAAAGTAAAGAAGTGGCTTGATTGACACCCGCGTCGCAGTGGCCGAAAAATGGCTTGTGAGCTGAACATATCGCAATATTCCATTCAGCAAATATTAAGAAATGAGCTCGGGGTAAAGCTATTGAAATTCTAAAAAGTGCAAAAACTTACACCGCAACAGAAAGAAAGTAGACTCAAAGAAGCTAAAGAGTTGCTTCGCTTACCCGAAAGTGGTGAACTGGCGAATTTGATTTTCTCCGATGAGAAAACATTCGTTGTCCAGTAGTTTGTAAACAAACAAAATGATCGTCTTTACTTGCCAAAGAGACCAACTGTAAATGTTGGCCACCAGAACAAAAGCGCCGGCCATGGTGATAGTGATACTATTTCCGATATTTTTTGCTTTCATTCTATAAAATCAAAAAAAAAGAAAAACAATGTAAGAATTATGTCGTTTGACTTTGTTGCAGTTTTTTTTATCTCACAATATAGAAGATGCATGATTGAGCTAAGAAGGTCATGTAATCATGTGTTTACAATTTTTTTTTTAAATTTATACATTTGAGAACATCTTATTGTCAAAATCTAACTTCATAAATCCATGGTATACACACAAAATCAGAGATGGGAACTGTTTTTATACATTGAAAGTTGCCAAGGTAAATTACAGAAAATGAAATGAGGTTACCTTACCCTAAACTAAATTAAATGTAACAATCGGTGTTTTTGTAAGATTAATAAAAAACCAGTAAAGAAAGTCCTAAAGTCGGGCGGGGCCGATTTTATGATACCCTACACCACTTTGCTAATTTAGTTGAGCTCCACTTAATAATTAAAAGTTTTTATGGGAGAATTCAATCATACACGCTATTTGGTGCAAAATTAATTTGAATTCAGATAAAGATATATATGGGAACTATATCCAAATCTGAACCGATCTCGATAAAATTTGGCAAAGATATTTCTGAGCAGTATTTGATATATTTCCCTGAATATCGTTGTTACGGAGTGCATATTACGGCTGTAGGTAACAAATACAACAAATCGGATGAACAATATATATGGGAGCTATAGCTATATCTGAACCGATCTTCACCAAATTTGGCATAATACCTTCTAGACTAAATTCGGTCGTATGTGCCAAATTCCATCCCATTTGGGTAAATATTAGACGTTTGGTGCTCAATAAAAGGTAAATCGGACGAAGTTATATATGGGAGCTATATCCAAATCTGAACCGATCTCGATACAATTTAGTAAAGGTATTTCTGAGCTGCATTTGATATATTTCCCCAAATATTGTTGTTACAGAGTGCATATTACGGCTGCGGAGGACAAAAATAACAAATCGGATGAACAATATATATGGGAGCTATAGCTATATCTGAACCGATTTCGATCAAATTTGGCATACTTATTTTCAGGTCTAATTTGGTTGTATTTGCAAAATTCCCACTATTCGGGCTGATATTACACGTTTGGTGCACAATAAAAGGCAAATCGGACGAAGATATATATTGGAGCTATATCTAAATTTTGACCGATTATCTCCAATTTCGTCCACGGGCCAAACAAATGATTTGTGCAAAATTTCATCTTAATCGGATAATAAATGCGACCTGCATTTTGTTCACAAAAATACATGAACAGACGGACGGACGGACGGACATGCATAAATCAACTCAGAAAGTGATTCTATGCAGATCATCAAAAGGAACTATGGGTCTATATCGTTTCCTTTTGCCTGTTACAAACAAATGCACAAAGAGATAATACCCTAACCACCTTGTGGTGTAGGATATAAATACAATCCCATTATTCATCGGAAATGTTTCAAATTTGATATTTAACGTTAGTAATGGATACTACAGCCTATGACAGAAAATTGTCTGTGCAGGTCCAAGTCTTCGTATAGCCCCCGTTATAACGGTACCTCGCCATATTCGGTATGTTGATGATTTTAGCGATATTAATCACCGGAATTGTTTCTATTGTAATTGTTTATGACAAAAGTTGCCTATGCAGGCCCACGTCGTCGTATAGACCCCAATATAACGGCTAAATTCGGTATTTTTAAGATTTAAAAAGAATTTTTAAAGGATTTTATTTTTTGAAAATTGCCAAAATCGTTCCAACTGGTGGAGGGTATTCAAAGATAGGCCCGGCCGAACTTACGGCATATCTACTTGTTACTTGTTCCTACTTACCTTCATCAAACGTTTAACATTGAAAGTAGCAATATAAAAAGTTTTTTTGTTTGATTTTATTTATTTTTTATTATTGTTGTTTTTTTCGGTTTTTAATCTCCAATAAAAACAGAGTTGTTGTTCGAGAAAAATCTTTACAATGCAACTCTGCATTTAATGGAGATTTCAATAAGTCGTAATTTTCTTCATTATTTTGTTTTGTAATTTAAATGAGTTTTATTGCACATTGTACAGCATTTTGTGTGTGTGTGTGTGTTTAGTTGTTGCTTAATGTATTTAACGATTAATTAAAAAAATATACAAGTAAACTAAGATAACTAAAGAAAAGTACTTGAATATATTGAATATAAAGAAAGAAATTGAAAAGGAAGCCAGTAAATGATTTTCGTTTGATTGATAGAAATGGAGTTTAGTGATGTATATTTTGAAACCAATTGCTTTTATAAA